GCCTACAATAACATGCAAATAAAGCAGGTCCCGTGTTAATTACATGCAAATGAGGTTGCGCCCATGTTAATGAGATGCGTTAATATTTACATGTTAATAAGCTCCTCCCACCTGCAGTAACAGCACGTCAACAACGCAGAGCCTAAATATGCAAATAGAGGAGGTCCTGCACTCAGAATATGCAAATAAGGGGGCGGCTCTATGCTAATGACATGTAAATCAAGCAGGCCCTATGTTAATAACACGAGGTCAGCTCTACGCGCGATTAAAGCGGGTCCTATGCTAATTGCATGTAAATGAGGGGCGGGGTAACGGTGGTGGGGTGAGGAATGGCCAAGAGGAAGATGCTGTTCCACTTGGGGGGCAGGGGGTTTAGTTGTGGGGCACGGAGTCTATGGGGCGATGGAGTTTAGGGCCCCATTGTTGCCCCATAGATCCCCATTACTGCCCCATAGAGCCCCATTACTGCCCCATAGAGCCCCATTATAACCCCATAGAGCCCCATTACTGCCCCATAGAGCCCCATTATTGCCCCATAGAGCCCCATTATTGCCCCATAGAGCCCCATTATTACCCCATAGAGCCCCATTATTGCCCCATAGAGCCCCATTACTGCCCCATAGAGCCCCATTATTACCCCATAGAGCCCCATTACTGCCCCATAGAGCCCCATTATTGCCCCATAGAGCCCCATTATTGCCCCATAGAGCCCCATTACTGCCCCATAGAGCCCCATTATTGCCCCATAGAGCCCCATTATAACCCCATAGAGCCCCATTACTGCCCCATAGAGCCCCATTATTACCCCATAGAGCCCCATTACTGCCCCATAGAGCCCCATTACTGCCCCATAGCGCCCCATAGGGCTCCCTATGGATGCTATGGGGCTGTTGGAGGACGTGGGGAAGCAATTGGGGCAATGGGAAGGGTTCTCCAATGGCATCGGGACCACAAAGAGCAATTTCTGGCTTATTTTTGCCCGTTTTTTGCCATTTTTAACCCATTTTTGGCCAAATCTGAACGATTTATGGCCATTTTTAGCCCGGTTTAACCATTTTTAGCTATTTCTAACCGTTTTTTGCCCAATTTTGACTCTTTTTAAGCCATTTTGGCCATTTCCAATCCATTTTTCTCCATTTTTTACCAATTTATTTCTATTTTTAACCCATTTTTGCCATTTCCTGACTTGGTTTTAACCATTTTTGGCTTTTTCTAACCCATTTTAAGTCTTTTTTGGCTATTTCTAAGCAATTGTTGGTCATTCTTGTCTTATTTTTGCCCATTTTTTGCCATTTTAACCCATTTTTGGCCAAATCTGAACGATTTATGGAAGTTTTTAGCCCGGTTTAACCATTTTTAGCTATTTCTAACCCGTTTTTGCCCAATTTTGACTCTTTTTAAGCCATTTTGACCATTTCCAATCCATTTTTCTCCATTTTTTACCATTTTTTTTCTATTTTTAACCCGTTTTTTGCCATTTCTTGACTTGGTTTTAACCATTTTTGGCTTTTTCTAACCCATTTTAAGTCTTTTTTGGCTATTTCTAAGCAATTGCTGGTCATTCTTACCTTATTTTTGCCCATTTTTTGCAGGTTTTAACCCATTTTTGGGCCAAATCTGAACGATTTCTGGCCATTTTTAGCCCGGTTTAACCATTTTTAGCTATTTCTAACCCGTTTTTGCCCAATTTTGACTCTTTTTAAGCCATTTTGGCCATTCCCAAACCCTTTCTGTCCAGGTCTTACCGATTTCTTTCGATTTTTAACCCATTTTTGCCCTTTCTTGACTTGTTTTTAACCATTTTTGGCTTTTTCTAACCCATTTTAAGACTTTTTTTGTTATTTCTAAGCAATTGTTGGTCATTCTTATCTCATTTTTGCCAATTTTTTGCCACTTTTAACCCATTTTTGGGCCAAATCTGAACGATTTATGGCCATTTTTACCCCGGTTTAACCATTTTTAGCTATTTCTAACCCGTTTTTGCCCAATTTTGACTCTTTTTAAGCCATTTTGGCCATTCCCAATCCATTTTTCAACATTTTTTACCAATTTATTTCGATTTTTAACCCATTTTTGCCCTTCCTTGACTTGGTTTTAACCATTTTTGGCTTTTTCTAACCCATTTTAAGTCTTTTTTGGCTATTTCTAAGCAATTGTTGGTCATTCTTATCTCATTTTTGCCAATTTTTTGCCACTTTTAACCCATTTTTGGGCCAAATCTGAACGATTTATGGCCATTTTTACCCCGGTTTAACCATTTTTAGCTATTTCTAACCCTTTTTTGCCCAATTTTGACTCTTTTTAAGCCATTTTGGCCATTCCCAAACCATTTTTGTCCATTTCTTACCAATTTCTTTTGATTTTTAACCCATTTTTTGCCTTTCTTGAGTTGGTTTTAACCATTTTTGGCTTTTTCTAACCCATTTTAAGACATTTTTGTTATTTCTAAGCAATTGCTGGTCATTCTTACCTTATTTTTGCCCGTTTTTTGCCATTTTTAACCCATTTTTGGGCCAAATCTGAACGATTTATGGCCATTCTTAGCGCGGTTTAACCATTTTTAGCTATTTCTAACCTTTTTTTGCCCAATTTTGACTCTTTTTAAGCCATTTTGGCCATTCCCAATCCATTTTTCAACATTTTTTACCAATTTATTTCGATTTTTAACCCGTTTTTTGCCTTTCTTGACTTGGTTTTAACCATTTTTGGCTTTTTCTAACCCATTTTAAGTCTTTTTTGGCTATTTCGAACAAAATTATCGCCATTTCTAGCCTATTTTTGCCCGTTTCTTGCCGGTTTTAACCCATTTTTGGGCAATTTCGAAATAAGTAAAAAAAGCTGAAACCAGGCTGGAAAATTCCAAAAATCGCTCAGATTTAGCCAAAAATGGACTAAAAACTGCAAAAAAATGGGCAAAAATAAGACAAAAATGAGCAATTGCTTAAAAATAGCCAAAAAAAACGACTTAAAATGGGTTAGAAAAAGGCAAAAATGAAGATGAAATTGGGACAAAACTTGAGTGAGCCCTTGAGCCCCATAAGTGACCCCATGAGCCCCATAAGTGACCCCATGAGCCCCATAAGTGACCCCTTGAGACCCACAAGTGACCCCACGAGCCCCATAAGTGACCCCATGAGCCCCATAAGTGACCCCATGAGCCCCATAAGTGACCCCATGAGCCCCATAAGTGACCCCATGAGCCCCATAAGTGACCTTTTGGGACCCATAAGTGACCCCATGAGCCCCATAAGTGACCCCATGAGCCCCATAAGTGAGCCCTTGAGCCCCACAAGTGACCTCTTGGGACCCATAAGTGACCCCATGAGCCCCATAAGTGACCCCTTGAGCCCCATAAGTGACCCCATGAGCCCCATAAGTGACCCCTTGAGCCCCATAAGTGATTACTTGAGCCCCATAAGTGACCTATTGAGCCCCATAAGTGATTACTTGAGCCCCATAAGTGACCTATTGAGCCCCATAAGTGATTACTTGAGCCCCATAAGTGACCCCATGAGCCCCATAAGTGATGTGTTAGGACCCACAAGTGACCCCTTGAGCCCCACAAGTGACCCTTGAGCCCCATAAGTGATTACTTGAGCCCCATAAGTGACCTATTGAGCCCCATAAGTGATTACTTGAGCCCCATAAGTGACCCCATGAGCCCCATAAGTGACCCCTTGAGACCCATAAGTGATTACTTGAGCCCCACAAGTGACCTTTTAGGACCCATAAGTGACCCCATGAGCACCATAAGTGATGAGTTGAGCCCCATAAGTGGCCCCATGAGCCCCATAAGTGACCCCATGAGCCCCATAAGTGGTTATTACAGCCCCATAAGTGACCCCATGAGCCCCATAAGCGATTACTTGAGCCCCACAAGTGACCCCATGAGCCCCATAAGTGACCTCTTGGGACCCATAAGTGACCCCTTGAGACCCATAAGTGACCCCTTGAGCCCCACAAGTGACCCCTTGAGCCCCACAAGTGACCCCTCGAGCCCCACAAGTGACCCCTTGGGACCCATAAGTGACCCCAGGGGACACACAAGTGACCCCTTGAGCCCCACAAGTGACCCCTTGAGCCCCACAAGTGACCCCTTGAGACCCATAAGTGACCCCAGGGGACCCACAAGTGACCCCATGAGCCCCATAAGTGATGTGTTAGGACCCATAAGTGACCCCTTGAGCCCCACAAGTGACCCCAGGGGACCCATAAGTGACCCCTTGAGCCCCACAAGTGACCCCTTGGGACCCACAAGTGACCCCTTGAGCCCCATAAGTGACCTTCTGGGACCCACAAGTGACCCCTTGAGCCCCACAAGTGACCCCTTGGGCCCCATAAGTGACCCTGTGAGTCCCATAAGTGACCCTTTGAGCCCCACAAGTGACCCCAGGGGACCCACAAGTGACCCCTCGAGCCCCACAAGTGACCCCTCGAGCCCCACAAGTGACCTTCTGGGACCCATAAGTGACCCCTTGAGCCCCACAAGTGACCCATTGGGACCCATAAGTGACCCCGTGAGCCCCACAAGTGACCCTTTGGGACCTACAAGTGACCCTTTGGGACCCATAAGTGACCCCATGAGCCCCATAAGTGATGTGTTAGGACCCATAAGTGACCCCGTGAGCCCCACAAGTGACCCTTTGTAGTCAGCCCCCGTGACCCTTCATCGTCGTTCCTATGGGGAGCCATAAGTGACCCCATAGAGACCCATAGAGACCCATAGGGACCCATAGCCCCACAAGTGACCCCTCGAGCCCCACAAGTGACCCCATGAGCCCCATAAGTGATTACTTGAGCCCCATAAGTGACCCCATGAGCCCCATAAGTGATTACTTGAGCCCCATAAGTGACCCCTCGAGCCCCACAAGTGACCCCATGAGCCCCACAAGTGCCCTTTTGGGACCCACAAGTGAAGCCTTTATTAAATAGCCAACCATTGAAAGGGGGGCGGGGTTAAATGGGGCCAATGGGGTTCAAGGGGGGACCCCGCCCACCAAGGGGGCGGGGCTAAGGGGGCTCCGCCCCCCCCGCAGCGCCAGGACAAGATGGAGGACGGAGCCCCCCTGGATCTTGTAGTCAGCGGCCGTCTTCTCGTCGTTCCTATGGGGAGCCGGACCCATAGAGACCCATAGAGACCCATAGGGACCCATAGAGACCCATTGGGACCCATAGAGACCCATAGAGACCCATTGAGAGCCATAGAGACCCATTGGGACCCATAGAGACCCATAGGGACCCATAGGGACCCATTGGGACCCATAGAGACCCATAGGGACCCATAGAGACCCCATTGGGACCCATAGAAACCCATTGAGACCCATAGAGACCCACTGGGACCCATAGGGACCCATAGAGACCCCATTGCGACCCATAGAGACCCATAGGGACCCCATAGAGACCCATTGGGACCCCATAGGGACCCATAGGGACCCATAGAGACCCACAGAGACCCATAGGGACCCCATAGAGACCCCACAGATCCACCCCATAGCCCCACAGACCCCCATACATCCACCCCATAGCCCCATAGATCCAACCCATAGCCCCATAGATCCAACCCATAGCCCCATAGAACTCCATAGATCCAACCTATAGCCCCACAGAGCCCCATAGATCACCCCATAGCACCCCACAGATCACCCCATAGCACCCCACAGATCACCCCATAGAGCCCCACAGATCACCCCATAGATCACCTCAGAGCACCCCACAGATCAACCCATAGCGCCCCATAGATCACCCCACAGATGACGCCATAGCGCCCCACTGACCACCCCACAGCGCTCCAGATTACCCCATAACGTCCCATAAATTACCCCACAGATCACCCCATAGCGCCCCACAGATCACCCCATAGCGCCCCATAAACCACCCCATAGTGCCCCATAGATCACCCCATACCGCCCCATAGACCACCCCATAGCGCCCCACAGATCACCCCATAGCACCCTGCAAATCACCCCACAGATCACCCCATAGCGCCCCACAGATCACCCCATAGAGCCCCACAGATCACCCCATAGCGCCCCACAGATCACCCCATAGAGCCCCACAGATCACCCCATAGAGCCCCACAGATCACCCCATAGCGCCCCACAGATCACCCCATAGCACCCCACAGATCACCCCATAGTGCCCCACAGATAACCCATAGCACCCCACAGATCACCCCACAGCACCCTGTGAATCACCCCACAGATCACCCCATAGTGCCCCACAGATCACCCCATAGTGCCCCACAGATCACCCCATAGCACCCCACAGATCACTCGATAGTGCCCCATACATCACTCCACAGATCACCCCATAGCGCCCCACAGATCACCCCACAGATCACCCCATAGCGCCCCATAGATCACCCCACAGATCACCCTATAGCACCCCACAGATCACCCCAAAGTGCCCCACAGATCACCCCATAGCGCCCCACAGATCATCCACAGCGCCCCACAGCCTGCCCCATAGCGCCCCACAGATCACCCCACAGATCACTCCATAGCACCCCACAGACCACCCCATAGCACCCCACAGACCACCCCACAGCGCCCCAAAGATCACCCCATAGCGCCCCACAGATAGCCCCATAGCACCCCATAAATCACCCCATAGCACCCTGTAAATCACCCCACACATCACCCCATAGCACCCCATAAACCACCCCATACCGCCCCATAGATCACCCCATAGCGCCCCACAGATCACCCCATAGCGCCCCACAGATCACCCCATAGCACCCTGTAAATCACCCCACAGATCACCCCATAGCGCCCCACACATCACCCCATAGCGCCCCACAGATCACCCCATAGCACCCCAAAGATCACCCCATAGCACCCTATAAATCACCCCACACATCACCCCATAGCACCCCACACATCACCCCATAGATCACCCCATAGCGCCCCATAGATCACCCCATAGCGCCCCATAGCCTGCCCCATAGCGCTCACCTCTGCTTCCCGCTGTAGATGAGGCGCTGCTGCTGGGGGGGCACCCCTAAACCACCCCTCCCCCATAGATCACCCCATAGCGCCCCATAGATCTGCCCCATAGCGCCCCATAGATCACCCCATAGCGCCCCATAGCCTGCCCCATAGCGCCCCATAGCGCTCACATCTGCTTCCCGCTGTAGATGAGGCGCTGCTGCTGGGGGGGGATCCCCTCCTTCTCCTCCATAAATCACCCCATAGCGCCCCATAGCCTGCCCCATAGCGCCCCATAAATCACCCCATAGCGCCCCATAGCCTGCCCCATAGCGCCCCATAGCGCCCCATAGCCCACCCCATAGCCTGCCCCATAGCGCTCACATCTGCTTCCCGCTGTAGATGAGGCGCTGCTGCTGGGGGGGGATCCCCTCCTTCTCCTCCATAGATCACCCCATAGCGCCCCATAGCCTGCCCCACAGCGCCCCATAGCCTGCCCCATAGCGCCCCATAGATCACCCCATAGCGCCCCATAGCCCGCCCCACATCCTGCCCCATAGCGCTCACATCTGCTTCCCCCATAGGCGCTGCTGCTATGGGGGGGGGATCCCCCCCATCTCCTCCATAAATCACCCCATAGCGCCCCATAGCCTGCCCCATAGCGAACCCCCCCATAAATCACCCCATAGCGCCCATACCCCCCCATAGGGTATTATGGGATGGCGGAACCCCCCCCCATAGGGTATTATGGGATGGAGGGAACCCCCCCATAGGGTATTATGGGATGGAGGGGAACCCCCATAGGGTATTATGGGATGGAGGGGAACCCCCATAGGGTATTATGGGATGGCGGGGAACCCCCCCATAGGGTATTATGGGATGGAGGGGAACCCCCCCATAGGGTATTATGGGATGGAGGGAACCCCCCCATAGGGTATTATGGGATGGAGGGGAACCCCCCCCATAGGGTATTATGGGATGGCGGAACCCCCCCATAGGGTATTATGGGATGGAGGGGAACCCCCATAGGGTATTATGGGATGGCGGAACCCCCATAGGGTATTATGGGATGGAGGGGAACCCCCCCCATAGGGTATTATGGGATGGAG